CGAAGCCCCTGGAAAGGCACAGACAGAGTTGGGAATAAAACACAGGCGTGTGTCTTCCCTGTGCCTCCCTCTCCCCCCACCAAGCCTAGGCCGAAACACTGGGCAGGGGCAGGGTGGAGAGAGGGTTCCAGATGCATCGTCCTGCACCGTCACCAGTGGAGCCCGCGCAGACCACGTGAGCAACAAGACTGTAAAATGGCAAGAAACCCCACGGGCAGAAGTCCCAGGGAGCTGGAAGGAGACTTAGCACAGAAACCACGGGAGTGTTTCGCCCGGGCTGGGGAGGGAATGGCAAAGTCAACCGCAGTCACGGTTTCCTAGGTCTTGAGTTGGGTTGTAGGTTCCTAAGTGCTTATTTTATTATTATGCTTCACAGTTATTCACAAAGAGTAAAAAAAAAAAAATGCCTTGACTGAAAGAAACAGAAAAGATAGGACACTGTGGAATGGGGAGTGTGGCATTTGAGGCTAGGTTAAAAAAGCGTCGACTCTCTCTTACTTTCTCTGGGTCACTTGCTCTGGGAGAAGCCAGCCGGTATGTCACAAGACTCAGCGCCCCAGGGAGAAGTCACGGGCCCAAGAACCAAGGCTCCTGCCAACCAGCAACGTTAGCGCGCCAGGCGTGACGGGTGGCCGCGGGCGTTTCCACGGAGTCAGTGGCTGGTGCTGGGTGACAGGGACCCACACCGAGCCCAGAAGTGGAGACCCGGCCCCTTCCAGGCCATCTCTGAGCTCTAGTGCACAGCGTCCTGCATCCACTGGCCGCCCTCATCTCTCCAGAGTGAGACTCTGTCTCAAAAAAAAAGAAAGGCCAGCCTCGCTTGCAGAGAGGCCCACTCTGTCCACTGGGTCGTGTCGTCCCACCCACAGGAGGACTTTCCTCTCATGGAACTCCACTTCCATGCAGCTGCGGCATGGTCCTTGCTCTGGAGCCACTCGGTGCCCAACGCTGTGATATGGGTAAGTGGTTCTCAGTGGGGTTGTTGGCAACGTCTAGAGATTGACCAAGGGGTCCTCAAACTTTTTAAACAGGGGGCCAGTTCCCTGTCCCTCAGACCGCTGGAGGGCTGGACTATAGTTTAAAAAAAACTATGAACAAAGTCCTATGCACGCTACACATATCTTATTTTGAAGTAAAAAAACAAATGGGCAAAAACACCTGCATGTGGCCCGCGGGCCGTAGCTTGAGGACGCCTGGTTTAGGTGGTCACACCGGGTGGGGAAAGTGACAGTGCTATTAATATCTAGTGGGTAGAGGTCAGGGACGTTGCTAAAAATCCCACAACGCATGGGACAGCTCCCCGTCCCCCACAATAAAGGATCGTCTGGTCCAACACGCCAATAGTGCCGCGGTTGAGAAACGCCACTTTGGAGCTGGTCGAGTGCGGGCCAGTCCCACCGCGAAGCCCCTCTGCGCGGCCTCGAGAGTGGGGGCAGCTGCCGGTCGGCTGCGGGGCTGGACGGGCCACGTCTCCCCAGGGGCCCCGGCAGCTGCGGACTCTATTATTAGCCCTGAGCAACCCTGGGAATACTCGGCTTCTTGTGCCTGAGAAACTAAAGCAAGTGGATTTTTTTTTTAGTGATTCTTCTAAAGAAAGATCTGTGACATTTGTAGGAATTTTATTTTATTTTATTTTATTTTGAGACAGAGTCTCACTTTGTTGCCCAGGCTAGAGTGAGTGCCCTGGTGTCAGCCTAGCTCACAGCAACCTCAAACTCCTGGGCTCAAGCAATCCTCCTGCCTCAGCCTCCCGAGTAGCTGGGACTACAGGCATGTGCCACCATGCCCGGCTAATTTTTTCTATATATTTTTAGTTGTCCAATTAATTTCTTTCTATTTTTAGTAGAGGCAGGGTCTCGCTCTTGCTCAGGCTGGTTTTGAACTCCTGACCTTGAGTGATCCTCTTGCCTCGGCCTCCCAGAGTGCTAGGATTACAGGCGTGAGCCACCGCGCCCGGCCTAGCCTCACATTATTAGAATGCCCTCGGGTAACTGATGACCCCGTGAAGAGTCTCAAGTCATCTATCTGAGTCCCAAGTCACAGGGGGCAAAATGGCTTTCCTGAGCTCCTGAAGGTGTGGACAGATCACTGATCGTCCAGCCACAAGACCCCTCCCGGGCCGGGCCCTGTCCTCACCTCACAGGCGAACAGCTTGAACTGCAGCCCCAGGATCTTGTAGTCTATGAGCTGGTTCCCGCGCAGCTGAGTCAAGGCCTCTTTAAGGTCTTTGATGGCTGAGTCGTATCTGCGGGACAGAGGGAGAAGCCACAGCAGTGCGGGGCGAGGAGGAGTGAATGCGGAGTGAAATGGGGTGCACTTCTCCCTGGGACAAGAAGCCTTTCCAAGTCCTTCCCACCTGCTCTAGCTTCTCAACAACCCTGGCTCAAACATCCTAGAGGACACAAGGTGACCGGTGTCCGCGGGCCATGCGTCACTGTAGCCCGAGTGTCCCGTCTGGGGCGGTCACAGGGATTTTCCTCTCTCTTGACTGCACACAACTCCCACCTCTCCGACAACCTACCTGGCTTGTTGGTTTCAGATGCAGCCCTCGTTCCCTCTGGAGAGCTCCCAGCAGAGCCAGCCCCCGCCCAGCCCCGTGTCCCTGCAGAGCTGACCTGGAGCCCTGCTGGCCCCTGCACTGCGGCGGCAGAAGGCCAGGCCAGGCCAGCCTGACACGGCTCCGAGGGCCCCTTCTCATGGTGTCACCTTCCTGCCCCCAGCCTTCTGCCCTGGCTGCTCCTGAGTCCAACTTAGATCATGGTTTCGTGGCCTTCTTGGTCTCCTCTCCCCTCCTGCCTCCTCCACACACATTGGGAAAAAGAAAAGAGAAACTGTCGCTTCAGCCAGGTAGCGTTTCTAGTACTGCTCCCGGCTCTGCCCTGGGCTGGGTTGGGCTGGCACTGCGCCGACTGGCTGCAGGTGTGTCCGGGCTGCTGTCCGTGGATTTGCGGCAGAGAGTGGGGCTGACCACAGCAGCAGGGCCCTCAGGGGTGTGGGCGGGAGCTGGACGCACGCTCCTGAGGACGCGGGCCGGGCCTTGCCCTCACCCCGACCTCCACAGGGGCCCCGGTGAGACGGGACCGTTGCCGGGCTGCAGGGGCGGGGGCAGCAAAAGCAAGCTGCCCACCCCCCACTCCACGCAGCCCCTGCCTGGCAGGAGCACATTTGGCTGCCTGGTTGTGGCTCCCACCTGGGCAACTGGGCCGAAAGTCCCGAGGCCCCTGTCTGACCCAGAGCTGCCGCCCGGCTTCTATGGAGGCGAGCCCGGGGTGTGGCATGGCCGGCAGGCTCCGCGGGAGGTCGAGGGGCAGGAAAGGGACCAGGGGCCAGGCCCCAGGTCCAGCAGCTCTGCCACTCACCGCGAGACCCGAGCAAGTTGCTTCCCTGGGCCCAGGGTCCGCATCAGTAGTATGATGGCCGTGTGTTGTACAGGGAAGACATCATACAAAGAGCATGTACGGTGAGGGGCTCGCTAGAACCTGGATCCCATTTCTGGAGTCCGAACCACCTGGACGTGAGTCCTGGAGCTGCCACTTACTGTCTAGCGATGAAGGGCAAGTTATTTAACTTCCGTAAGTTTGTTTCCTCATCTTTGGAATAAGCACGCAATAATAGCACGTACCTCCCAGGTTGTCGGGAGAACTAAATGAGATGAAGCACCGGGGTGGCTAGGGCAGTGCCTGGCACACACAGCCATTTACTATTATAATTCGTTTTTTTCAGTTCTGAAACTCTACCAGTTCAGTTCATGCACCGATCATGCATTGTGTGCTTATGTAAAGCACACGCCATATAAGGTCTTGTTAGGAGATTTAAAAATACATGGTGTGGAAGCTGGAACTCTGATGCCCAGGAAGCTCCGCGCTGAGCACTAGGGCTGGTGGCCAGCAGAGTCCTGGGAGCGTGTCCCCAGGCTGGCTGCGGGGGAAGCTGGACTTGCCCTCACCGCTAGGTGTGCAGTCACGCACAGCCGAGGCAGTGGCTGCAGCAGGAAGGAGAGAGGAGAGCCGGGGTTTGCAGTGGGAGGATGGCTTTCTCTAGAATGCTCGTTGTTATTAAAGACGATTGTAAACCTATTCAAAGCAGGCAGACTGCTCCTTAAGAAGCAGTGAGCGTTTCAGGTCGTTGCCACACATCTTGCAGGCTTCCCGGGAAGGTCGAGAAGGTTCCGGCAGCGGCTCTGTGTACACCAGAGGGTGGGGTGACTGGCCCCCCTTGCTGGGCCACAGAGCCTCCCGCCCCGAGGAGGCCAGGCCAGCGCCAGTGTCCTGTGGCAGCTGTAGCGTCCACTGTGTTCTGTGCCCCTTTGGGAGCTGGCGGAAGGTTCCAGAGGGCTCACCTGCAAATGGCCTTCCTGTCTGCAGAGCTAGCTGAGTGACGGGTTCCAGCCTGGAAGCGGCACCGCCTGGGGCTGCCTGGCATCGCCGGAGCCCAGCAAAATTGCCCTTATAATCCTCCAGCCCGTCAAGACGGCTACAGATCTGGGCCCGGTAGGAGGCAGAGAGCCCTGACAGATGATTCAGTGCTTGTTTTGTGTTTAAAAAGCAAAACAGAACAAAAAACCAGAGTGGGACCGGGAGTGGTGGCTCAGGCCTGTAGTCAGGGAGGCTGAGGCAGGAGGAGAGCTTGAGTCCAGGATTTCGAGGCCAGCCTGGGCAACATAGGTAGACACCACCCCTACCCCCCACCAGGTCCCTAAATTAATTTATTTTTTAAAAACAAGGTAGGGGGATCCCTGCTAAAAGTCGTTTTTAAACAAATCTTTGAAACTTCGGCCTGCCTCCAGCCCCGAGGCTCCCTGCTGCAGGCCTCTCGGGCCCTCGCTGGCTTACCCAGAGCTGCACCCAAGGGGGTCTGCTTTGACACACAGCTCTGCTTCCTGCTGCACAGGGTCTCTCTCTCTCTCTTTTTTTTCTTTGAAACAGAGTCTCATTTTGTTGCCCAGGCTAGAGGGAGTGCCCTGGCGTCAGCCTCGCTCACAGCAACCTCAAACTCCTGGGCTCAAGCGATCCTCCTGCCCCAGCCTCCCGAGTAGCTGGGACTATAGGCACGCGCCACCATGCCCGGCTAATTCTTCTATATATTTTTAGTTGTCTAGCTAATTTCTCGAGCCACCGCACCCGGCCAGCACTCTGGAATTTTGATGGAGGCAACAAGACCAGGAGCTGGGAGACCAGTCTGGCAGTGACTGCAGTAGCCCTGGTGAAAAATGAGGGTCTGAACCAGGGCAGCGCTCATGGGAATGGAGAGAAATAGGTAACTTCAAGAGATATTTAAGAAGACAACCTGCCAAGGTTAGGGAGAGAGACACTCTGGGTCCACCCCAGTACAGATTTAGTAGCTGGCTGGTTAGAAGTGGGGTTGGTGGCGTGGGAGACGGTGGCCTTGCCCAGAAATGGATCCTTAGGGTTCGTATGTGGACTTCCATGTTCATGTCCACTTGAGATTGTACAGAAAAGAATGTATGTGTGTTTCTGGGAAGAGAGTCTCTACGTTTTGCCATTTAACAATCACTGCTGTAGTCATAAAAGGGAAAAGGGTCGAGAATAGAACGTTAGAGGAAATACAGCACTTAGGGATTGTGCAAAAGAAGCCAGCTTGGGGTGGAGAACAATGATGCCTCATTTATCTGACTTCCTCATGAGACAGTTGTTGAGTTAAAGATAAAATTTGGTAGCTTTTTCTCTCAGATGTAATTATTATCAATCACAGATGAATTGAATCCTGGGTCTTATTCCTAGATCTTTCCAAAATCTTTCTAACTCACTCAAAATCTTAGTCTTCCAAGCCCTGGAACTTGTGGGCCTTTTTCTGTGGACATTCCTTCTGGGAGCCTTCCCTGTTTTACCAGTTGTTCTCGTCATTACAGGCTGTTAGAGCTCATCAAAAAAAATGGCCTTTGAGTTTGTCTTTTGAGATTTAAGAGCAGCCGGAGGATTTCTGCTGGGCCTCCTGCGTATCTTATACATCTGCAGAGCACAGAGGGCAGGGGCACAGGGGATGTTAGGAAGGGTGACAGGGAGTCAGAGGCGGATGCGAGCCCAGGCTGTCCCCAGATTGCCTCTGTGTCTGGGTTTTCTTCCGGGGAGACTTCACTGCTACTTTTACTCATTCAGGTGATGAACTGCATCTGTATCTTTCAAGTCTTCTGAGCTTCTTGTTGCCCTTAGCAACAGCTGAGCACATGGGTTTTACAGGCTCTGTTTCTAATCAAACCAGAGGACCAAAAGCCTTCAAGGTGGTACAGGATGGGAGCCCGGCGCCCTCCCTGACACCTGGACACCCTCGGCAGGAACCACCCTCACTATGCTCCTCCATCCGAGCTCACCCACACCCACGCCTCACTCAGACCATTCGCACTATTAGCAAGACAGCTCTCCATCGGCCCGGGCAAACTCCTCTTCCCTAGAGCGTGTGCACGCTGATGGAACAGTCTCTACCAAGGGGCAGTTTTGCATCCCCCAAAACATTTGAAATGAACACTTGGAATTTTTGTCCTTTGTTATTTGTATGTTTGTTACGAGGTATTTGTAGTAGATGGGGGGGGTAGTAATAGAGATTAACTTTTACTTTTGTATTTATTTATCATTTTACCAATTATTTCATATTTTCACTGTAAACACACCAAAAGATACAGATAGGAGAATAGAAGAAAATGAATTTCCCTACGATCCCACCATTCGGAGCCAATTACTGTTAACATTTTGCTTGGTCTATGGCCTTCCAGACTTTATTCTGTGAAACAGAAATGGGATTGTGTTATATACACTGTTTTGAAATCTGTTCTTTTAAATTTAACATCTACTGTGAACCTCTTCTGTATTAATATATATGCTATTTATTTATCTGTATCCATTTATCCTTATATGATATTAATTCATACTCTCATTTCTGTGGCTGAATTATATTTCATGGACTGGATTACACCAGGCCTTGAAAATACATTTTGTTGGGATGAAGCCAGACCCTGTGACAGCTCAATACCTCCTAGTCTCAGACCACCATGGGTGTCCCCTGAATCGGAATCTCAGGCCCGTGGCGTCTACACAGGCTCCTTGTGAGCATGGCGCAGCCGCCATGATGGGGTGGCAGGCCTGCCTCCCTGCCCAGTGCCGGCTTCTGCCCCACACGCCGATTTATTGCATAACGGCCCGAGAAGGGCCCGTCATGCTTCCCGACAAACACTGGGCAGACACTTCTCAAACACCGAGTCTGGCGCCACTGAGACCCTCCCGTTTCTCCTTGAACTTCCCCAGCGTGAACAACACTGGACACTCACTTCTCCATCCGGTAGTAGAGCATCCCGCGCTGGAAGTAAGCGACCGCCAAGTGCTTGTCTTGGTTAATGCTTCTGGTAAAGGCCTGCAGAGAGGAGGAGCGGGCAGTGAGAGGAGCCGGGGGCAGGCACAAAGGAGCATGAGAATGATGGGAGTCTTTTATTTATTTATTTATTTATTTTTGAGACAGAGTCTCACTCTGTTGCCCAGGCTAGAGTGAGTGGCCTGGCGTCAGCCTAGCTCACAGCAACCTCAAACTCCTGGGCTCAAGCGATCCTCCTGCCTCAGCCTCCCGAGTGGCTGGGACTATACAGGCATGTGCCACCATGCCCGGCTCATTTTTTCTATATATATTAATTGGCCAATTATTTTCTTTCTATTTATAGTAGAGATAGGGGTCTCGCTCTTGCTCAGGCTGGTTTCGAACTCCTGACCTCAAGCAATCCGCCCGCCTCGGCCTCCCAGAGTGCTAGGATTACAGGCGGGATTGAAGTCTTAAAGGCAAGAAGAGGCCACCGAGGGGTCAGACACCCTGGGGTCAGAACATCCAGTGTTGTCACTTCCTCTTTGCATGGCATGTGGCCGGTTACCTAATCTCCTTGGACCTTAGTTTTCTCTTCTGTAAAATGGGAATATTATTAGCCCCCTTGCAAGATATGGGTAAGATCAAAATAATAGAATTGATTGAAAATGAAAACAACACAATTAAAATATATAAACTGTCATATTTGTTTACTATACAAATTTGTTTCTTACATGAATATCATGCAATTAAAACACTAGCAAATAAGATTGCATCTAAAATGCCAGTAAAAAGGGCCCATGCAGGAAAACACAGCAGGGCGGAGGGAATGAGAAGGCCAGAAGAAGAAGAGTGCAAGCAGAAATGGAGAGCTGTGAGCCCGAAGGCCTGGGAGCTGACAGGTGAGCAGTGGCCCGTACAGCCTCACCAAGGACGCCACGGCCAGGACAAGGCAAGAGCGAACAGTCCCCACCGGCACTGCTGTGCCCAAACTAGCTTTGTCCTCTGCCAAGCTCTTCTCCTGGGCCAGGTGGACTTCATCTCCATCAGCCCTCAAGATGTGCTGTGCTGCGGGCTCAGCCCCCGCCAGCCCCCTGACATAAATACTGAGGGGAGGTGGCCCTGCTGTCCTCCCTCCAGCCAGAGCTGGGGGACCCTCGCAGGCTCCTGATGGTCAGTCTGCCAACTCTGGGGCCCGAGACCCACTTGTCAGACTGTGAAAGCATTTTGAGCCCCTTCTCTCTCTGCATGTCAAGTGGGTGTGGCCCAGGCTTGTTTACCTGCCGTGGACTGGGGGAGGAACTGGCTCTTTAAGGGCACTGGGGAGTCCTCCTCTGCCGCACACGGCCTTGCAAAGACTGGCAGTAAAAGGTGACAATAATAACTAACTTGAATACAGTGGTGTGAAGTTACAGACCACGTTAATGGTTGGTGTCTGATTAATGTTTATTCTACTGACACTCTCAAGAAGTTGAGAGTCAGAAGTTTATGTGGCTCGCTTTAGACCCAAAGTCCAGAAAGAGACAGAGCTGGGGTTTGATCCTAGATATTCTGCATCCAAACTCCCTTCCCTTTCCACCCTACCAGGACCTATCTAAGAAAGGATTGTTGGGTATAATAGGGTATTTGAGAGATAAAAACAATATTTGAAAAATATATTAATACATACCATGCCCTTGGCAGACATCACTAATCAATCATGCTCTGATTTCTTTCTGCCAACCTCAGAATCCTTAAAAGAGTCCCTCCACCTAATTGATCAGAATTGCCACTTGAGATAAACCCTGGTTTTTATAAGTGCCTCCCCTCAATCTCTTGGGAGGGCAAAGCTGATACACACATTCCTAGAAAGTCAAAAGCCTGGTGTCTTATCACCAGGTGCGAAGTGGCAGATGGATGGAGATCCTGCGTCCAGGAGATCTTTGAAGAAGATATAACTAGGGGAGTCGATTTCGGGATGATCTGAATGCAGCAGATGGAGAAGGAAGGCGGCGGCCCGGGCTGCCCCTTGCAACCACCTGGGGAGCTTTGAACCTGAAGCTCCCAGACTCCCCAGACCAACCCCACCAGGCCCTGTGGGGGTGGGGCCTGGCGTCTCTGTTTCTTTGAAAGCTCCCTGGAGGTTAGATCTCTAAAGTGCAACCAACCCGGAGCAGCCACACTCAGGGCACTCACCCTCTCCGCGGCGGGCCTGTCGCCCAGGATGGCGTGCATGCAGCCGATGTTGAAGCAGATCCGGGAGTGGGGGTCCTGCACCGCGCTGAAGGCGCCCAGCGCGCCCTGCCAGTCCTTCTTGTCGGCCGCCAGCACCCCTTCATTCCAGAGGCTGATGGCCTCCGCCAGGGACATGGTGGGGGGACCGGGAGGGCTGTCGGGAGGAGAGGAGAGGCTGCCCCGGGCCCCCGGGTGTCCACCGTCCAGGCCTGGCGCCGGGATGCGGCCCAGCCTCCCCGAGACGACTTATCAGTGTTGCAAATGTGCCAGGAAATGTCCCCACCTTTCGGCAACTGACGCATGGCCCTACCATGAGGGAGAAAAGGAAAGAGGCAGAACAGAGCGCGAGCAAGCGGGCGGTGCGGAGGAGAGAGGAAGTGGCCGTGAGGCGCAGTTCCCCAAACTGCTTCTGCTCTGTCGCCTCCTCCTCTCCGCCCCCACCCCCTTCTGGCCAGTGCTCTGCCCCAGCTGGCTTGGGGACAACCTGGGCAGATCTGAGGCCTCCCCTTACCTGAGGGCGTTGGATGACAGGATAGTTCCTCCCAGGCTTTGGTGAATTCCTTCCTCACTTCCTCATAGCCCCGTAGACTGTACTGATATGTTGGTTTTTATCTTGAGCTAAAATTAGCAATGAACACATTTTTAAGAGAGGATGGTCCTGGGTGTCCATCTGGGTCTGAAATAAACTTTTATGAACGCTCAGGAAATTTAGAGGAGACCAGTTTCCTGCAAATGCCAAAACTGGGAGGCAGACATGATGGCGAGTTATGACTTCTCCCACCCTTCTGTGAAAAATTGAAGTGAGGAAGGGCCTGCGTTGATAACTGATGCGTTTACTAGTCTTCGAAAAAACAGACTTAAGACTCCTTTTCCTTGTTGCTCTGGAAAATTATGTCAGTAAAACCTTCCTGAGGAATAATTGGGTGCAGTGGGTATAACCCATTTGACTTACTAAAATCCTGACTTCTCGTTAGGTAAAATGCGTGCGTATGAGGGTTGAATACTTAGACGCCAACTCTTGTTTGTAGAACTGGAAGAACTCACTTATTATCACCAAGCTTCCCCTAAAAGCCTGAAAATAAAACTTGAAAATGTACACGCCACAGGACTTGTAGGGTTGAAGGTATGAGAATTAAGAAGCTGTGTGTGTGTGTGTGTGTGTGTGTGTGTGTGTGTGTGTGTGTGTGCTTACACAGCCCGTTTCTTGTGTTTGGAAGGCCTTTCCACCTTACTTTTTGCCTGGCAAACTCCTACTCATCCTTCAAGGCCCAGCTGAAATGTCACCCCCTCTGTGAAATATAGCCCCTAACTCCAGGTAGTAGAGAAAATTTTTCTCTCCTTTGTACTACCTCTTCCCAAACACTTACATTATACTTATTATAATTTATCTCTTCATCTGGTCAACTCTTAGGCCCCTCGACAGTTGGGACCACGCCTTTTCATTCCAGAATGCCCAGCACCAATACTCAATCAGTGACGAAGGGAAGCATTCTAAAAGAAGTGAGAAATCATTGGTAAATGACCTGCAGGTAGCAGTGATGCCAGGAAGGGTATTGCTATTCCATTCAGTGAATAAATAATCAAAATTTAGGCTGGGCACAATGGCTCATACCTGTAATCCCAACACTGTGGGAGGCCGAAGTGGGAGGATTGTTTGAGCCCAGGAGTTTGAGACCAGCCTGGGCAAGATAGGGAGACCCCATCTCTACAAAAAAATAAAAATAAAAACTTGAATAGCACCATTCATTATTCCTAGGAGAGCCAAGTGGATTTGTAGCTAAGTTAGACTTATTTTAAAAAGTGGTTTTGTCCTTTTATTTATTATCCTAGCCTGACACTCAGAATTTTTCTTAATCAGACTCCCAAGACTTGTCTAGCCTTATCCCCCAAACAATTCACAATTCCATATGAACTGTACTGCTTGCTCTCCTCCCCCTGCTTTTGTCTCCTGCATCTGTGCCTTGGCTCATGCGAGATCCTCCTCCTGGGCTGCCCTATCCCGTGTCTTTCTGCACCTTCAAACCACCTTGCACCCCCTTCCATGCCTGCTCAAGCGTCACCCTCCTTAAGACGCTGCCCTAAAGCCCCAAACCCATGACCTCACCTTCTCCTGAACTTCTGCATCTCCCTCTCTGCACCTCCCATGTGGCCCTTAATCGCCCTTTACCAGCATAGGGTTATGAGGGGTGGCATGTCTCAGCACCTCAAATAGACCGTACCCCTCGGGAGAAAGTCCGGGGACGAACCTTCCTTGTATCTGCCCGGGCACTAGCAATGCCATCCTCACTGGACTCTGCCACATTCCCTCCACCCCTCCTGTGCCACCCAGGCCGAGCCACCACCAGCTCGTGGGCTAACATTATAGTCTCCTTGCCCCTCCATCCAGATTGAGCTTTTATTTTTTTTTTTTTTTTTTTTTTTTTTTTTGAGACAGAGTCTCGCTTTCTTGCCTAGGCTAGAGTGAGTGCCATGGCGTCAGCCTAGCTTACAGCAACCTCAAACTCCTGGGCTCAAGCGATCCTCCTGCCTCAGCCTCCCGAGTAGCTGGGACTACAGGCACAAGCCACCATGCCCGGCTGATTTTTTATATATATATATATATATATATATATTAGTTGGCCAATTAATTTCTTTCTATTTTTATGGTAGAGACGGGGTCTCGCTCAGGCTGGTTTTGAACTCCTGACCTTGAGCAATCCACCCGCCTCAGCCTCCCAGAGTGCTAGGATTACAGGCGTGAGCCACCGCGCCTGGCCCAGATTGAGCTTTTAAAAACACAAGTCAGATCACATCCTGCCCCCTGGTTAAACTTCCAGCGCCTGGCACCACTCTCAGGACACAACCCAGACTCCTCGTGGGGCGGGGCGGGCCCTGCCTGCCGCCCACTCGTCCTTCCTTCCCCTCCTCCCGCCCCTGAGCTCTGCAGGCCCAGCTCTCAGATGGGCCGGCCTGTCCCCTCCTCTGTCCCCTCCTGGAAGGCTCTTCCCGCAACCCCGCCTGGCGGTTCCTACTCAGTTTTCACTTCCTCTAGTGACCTTTCTTGCTCCGTGACCTCACCAGGATCCCCGTTCTCTCTCTCACAGCAGCTGTCTCCGGTCACACCTGTGTCACAGTTGGTAGTCGCGTAGCATCTGTGAGCTTGTTTCTGCCCCCCAGTGCAGGGACAGTCTACTCAATCGTTACTTGATACTGTCAGCCCGCGGCCTTTCCAGCCACTGTTCATGCCCCTCCTCCCCCGGTAGAGCCCCTGTTCTGTTCACTTCTCCAGTCTCTGAAGGCCGTGAGCTTCAGGGCACTTACCCCCGACACCGCCCGGGGAGTGGGGTTCCGACTGGTTTAGGCGTGAGCATGAGGGAATCATGGTCAATGAGGCCAGGCGAGGTGGCTCACGCCTGTAATCCTAGCACTATGGGAGACCGAGGCGGGAGGATCGCTTGAGGTCAGGAGTTCGAGACCGGCCTGAGCAAGAGTGAGACCTCGTCTGTATTAAAAATAGAACAATTATGTGGCATGTGCCTGCAGTCCCAGCTACTCAGGAGGCTGAAACAGGAGGATCCCTTGACCCCAGGAGTTGGAGGTTGCAGTGAGCTACAATGATGCGACTGCACTCTACCCAGGGCAACAGAGTAAGACTCTGTTTCAAAAAAATTATGGTCAATGAGACATTAGGGGACATCTGCTGAGGAATTCCTGGAAAGAGTTTTTCCTCACTGATTAAAAAAAAAAAAAAAAAAGACACATGAGAAGAAACAGTACTTGTTTCTCCACTGGACAATATCGTGCTTAGAACAGTGACAACCATCTTATGACCATGAGGAGAACTAGGTAAGAACAGGCCATTGTTCCAAGGAAAAGAGAATGGAAAAATAAACAGAACATGATCCTTAATGATACTGGTAAGATATGCTACATTCTCTATTTTCTACGAAATCTTAAAGCTGGCCTACCTTGAGACTTCGTGTTTGGTTAGATAATATATGTGTTTATCGTTGAGTTTTCTATTGGTTATGGTTTAAGACAGTCTGATAGTCACACCCTTGTATTCTCAGTACAATGCTTGGCATATAGCAGCTGCTCAATAAACATTATTTGTTGAGTACATTTTGTTGATGCATTAAGTTGAATAATTCAAGGTTTCAGCTCAGCGTCTTCAAAATTATTCCAAAATTCTGAATAAGCAAGATTTACATATGACTGGCTACGGGATCATGAACTGCTGTTGCATGTATTCATTTAGCTGGAAGCTAAGAACATTCCCAATATCTTCCTATTTCTCTGAGGAAGGAGCCTGTAAAATCAAAATAAAACTCATTATCCCTTGGCACTCATCAACCACCTCCTCATCCTCATTTTCAGGGTCCGGTGTTCTATTGCTCTTTAACTTTTTCTGGGACACGAGGCTTCTCTCTCAAGCTCCTGGAGGGACAGCACCATGTTTGCATTTTCCTTCAGTCCTTCACCATCCTTAACATAGTTTCTTGGCCTGTGGCAGGTGCTCCATAAACACTTGCTAATTGATCAAATGAACCAAAAAATAAGAAAATCGAATCTTACTTGGAAAAATATAATTTTATAGAGTTTGTTAGTATCATGTTGGTTGCATAAAGTGAGGTACATTTGTAATAGTAGGAAAAAGTATATACTTTTCCTGCCTTTAACTCTGACATCCAGTAGTTACACTTGAGTCCAAGACTCCTAGGAAACCCTCAGGAGGTGGGCAGGGAACCTCATTGATTATATATCAACGTGGGCTGGATTTCACACGGGAGACACGGAAAACTCAACATGGGTCCTGTCGTTCAGCAGGGCTATTGAAAACCTTAGGGCTCAAAGTTTTCCTTCTCCGGGAAGACATCTCAAGTGAGTCCTGTCTCATCTGCTATTGTATTTGTTTTCTATTGCTGCGTAAGAAATCACCGCAAAGTTAATGGCTCAAAATAACACACACTTACCCACAGTTTTCATGGGTCAAGAGACTGGGCACACTCCCTGGGTCCTCTGCTCAGGGTCTCCCAAGACTGGGATCCGGGTGTTGGCCAGGCTGCATTCTCATCTGGCGCCTGGACTGGGAAGGCATCTGCTTCCTACCAAGCTCCCTCCTGGTACTTTTTTATATATATATATGTTTTATATATATATATATAAATATATATGTATTTTATATATATAAATATATATTTATAAATATATATTATAAATATATTTATAATATATAAATAAATATATATTATATATATAAATATATATATTTTTTGGTTGGCCAATTAATTTCTATTTATAGTAGAGATAGGGTCTCCCTCTTGCTCAGGCTGGTTTCGAACTCCTGACCTCAAGCAATCCCAGAGTGCTAGGATTGC